CTGGAGAAGCCTACGGAGCATGTATATGTAGTTGATACATTCTCATTTTGGACGAAAACTGGCTTCTTCCTCCCTGGAATAATCCTCTCTTGTCTCTGGTGTCCTGCGAAGTAAGATGGATACAAAAAGTTTGGACGCAACCTAGTTCAACGGAATTCCGCAGCAATTAGCGCAATCTTCACGAGAACCTTTATTGCGGCTCCGGACAAAGATTGATTCCCCCTTTCTCGTTAGTCCGGTCCTTCGTGAACAGCGGTAGGATTTCGTTGACAGGTTCATTCGCTGACTAGAGTGTCAGAGCTTGGGGTTTTATGACGTCTCAAATATTGGATTCGTCTGGGATCTCTGCGTCAGTAGGGGAGAATCTTTGGGGACAGACTAAGCAGTATTCAATGGAGATGCAAGTGTCACAGAGGACTGCGCTAGGTAATTAAATTGCAGAGCAAAATCTCCACTCAAGCATCTGAATCTTAACATTAGTTTAAGATTACATGCTGTCTAGCTCACAGATTGCCTTACTGGTCGAATTCGAATTGCGACCGGCTTCGTTGATGAGGTAAACAAACTGTGACAGTTTCCAACGGATGCAGCGGCTTGCATCTCAGCAGCTCTTCTTGACCACCAGGATTCACGGTAACAGCGATTTGCTTTAAGTAGTTGAGAACTGGACCGGCGGAATTTTTATGTTCCACACCTGCGGGTACAGCTCCTCGATCATCTAGCAGTCCCAAGATCCGGCGTTTGTCTGTGCGATGGGTGATGCCGCAGCTGGGACAAACCTGCAGACAACATGGTTTTTTGCAAGCCTGAAAGTTGCCTAGTCAACATGCAGTGAATGGTAGAGAACGTGACTTTCTCGAAACCTCCGTTGATACTCCACTTACACTGTTTAGCGTTCCGATTGACAAGTGTTCAGTCGGATTTCTTCCGCTCCATGGAAGCCACGGAAATCTATGCAAACTGACGCACACACCAATGTATTGTCGATTTCGGCCTAAGTTGGTCATCATGATCCGCGATCCCGTATGTTGCAACGCCACTTGCGACAGGACTAGGTGCTCGATTTGAGACCAACACTGAGAGAGCGATAGGGCTCGCCAGATAGTATAGTTACGTCTGTGATGACGAAAGCTTGCGCTAGAAAGGAAAACCTGTTGGTCAGTACATAGACTAATCCATCTTTCACCTGTGTCTTAGCGAACGTCATTTCTATGCGGTCCCCCGAAAAAGCATTCAGATGGCAGCAATCGACAGACACGTGAATTGAGGTCTACTACTGTAACATTGATATCTGTCTTCACTGGCCTTAGGAGCAGATTTCGACAGAACTGGTCCTTGAATGTAACCGAGTTGTAGTCAGTGGACGCCTAGGCTGAGATCACGTTTGTCAGATGGACGTCTGCTGACCTTCCAAGAGCCGCGGTGGCTCATAGCACAAAGACGACTGTTGATTGGAATCCAATCAAGGAGGGTGGTCACGACTCTTGCACTGAGGACGATACCAACACAAGCTTGTTCAGATGCGGCAGACTCAGCGTCACTCGAAAGACAGATGGAAGCCAGTGTGTTTGTGGATCGGTAACGGCAGAGAATAGACTATGTTGGAATTTTAGATTTTTATCTCAGCCAGGCAGCAGACATCAATTTCAAGAGTCCAAGGTCCGTGCAATCCCCGTTTGTTGTCCGACCTGCATTACGGTGTGCACATCAAGCGTTGCTAAGTCCCAGTTTCAATAGCGACGATGGGAGACTCTGGCTGTTGCCTCCCTTTGAAGCAGTGTGGTTGTTGGCGTATGTTAGGAGACAAACTCACCGGAGGGGAGCATTATTCTTCACCGTTGAGAAATCAAGTACCAACTGGGGCGAATGATACAAGAAGAGGGTATTTAAATGAGTAGCTTGTGTTCCTAAACTCGCCATGAAAGCGAGTGAGTGTGAGTGCGTTCTTGTGGTTCGTCCTTAGGGAAGATATAACACGCTTGCCTATGCCGAAGTAGGTAGACTGTCTCAGTGGACCACCGCCTTGATCCTGTTCAAAGGGCCTAATTTACAATGCAGCATAGTGAGATAAGGGTTTCCCACACGTTGAGAGCCAGTGACTGACCACTCAATTCATACGACTTTCGGATGATGATAATCCATACCAGCACTCCTGACGTTAGAGACGAAATCCGATCATCGGATCGCTTTCCGGTGTACGACACCGAGAAAGACAGGGAGCATCGACTTTATTTAGCGACGAGTTACATCCACACGTCCCAGTGTTATTAATCAGACATTCGTGAATTTTTATATGGAGAACCCCTGGCAGGCGAGACCCCATCACTTGTTAGAATATTGCTGCCCAACCGTTTGCTGGGACAAAAAATTTCAAGGCTACTCAGTTAACACCCCGTGGGAGCAGTTCGGCTTGTAATGCAGCTTAGTTATTCGTCTGGATGTGTATACTGTTTTTTTCTCAACAACCGTCGTTATCCTCTTCTCTCGATTCCTTTTAGCTGATGTGGTCACCGGGGAGAACGTAGGCAGGTTTGCCACTCATTGTTCGCTCGAAATAATTTAGTTTCTTCATGTGATTTTCCCTGAACAAGTTTTGCGTTATTTTTTATTTTCTCAGGTGCCCTGTTATACTCCATGCTTATACAGCTTATATCAATACCTTGAATGAAATCTAGCCGTTCTGTTTCTTTGACTTCCTGGTGATATCCTGCTGCAAGCGGAATTTATGCACATATACACACTTATCAGATTTTACAGTACCGAATACTCGTGCACTGGTTGTAACCCCGGGCTCAGGTAAACATCTCTCACTTCCACTTTAAGTAACGGTGCAACTGGAGACTGTATGTCGGCGGATGTTCTAAAACATGTAGTGTAACATTCCGAATGCATCTTTGAACAATCTGTGTTCATTACAAATGGTAACCGGTGTATGAGCTTGTTATCTTTCAGTGACATGTGGTCGCACACTCCAACTGTCGTCTTTACATTCCGCCTTCATCCGTTTTCTGGGTAAAATCCCGATCCAGTATTCCTTCTAAAACTCAAACCTTTTGCTTTGGGTGCAAATCGATTACTCGTCCATCCTGCTCCATGGTCAGCCATACTTACTTCCCACCTCGATTTAATTGATGTGGAGGCTTACAAACAACTAGAGTGTGGAATGATATAAGTAGAAATTCCTCACATCTAGAATCAGATAGCCACCACACTCTCGGAAAAGCACTGTACGGCCGTTTCCTCCTTTCGGGAATCGTCAACACTGCGCATTCCATCGAAGCCGCAACTTGACCGCTGCCAGTCGTTGGATGAGACTACCGAGCTACGGTTGACGGTAACTACCAAACTTATGGCATGAAAAGCGGTTTGGTCTACCTACTATTTACAACTGAGTAGAAGAGGGCATTGAATAGTAGTTTCGTGGCTTGGTGAAGGGGTTGCCATGTCTTTTGCACGGTAGTAACGTGCAAGTCACTGGGTACTACGGGGCGCAATATCACGGTGGTCGTTACCGTCCCTCGTAGACCGATAGTCTCAATCACAAACTGACAAGAGTCGAGTTGCGGGTTTTTGCGCCGCAGGGGTCAAATGGAATGTGCACTGTTGACGATTCCCGAATGGATGAAACGGTGTACGGTGCTTTTCCGGGCCTGTAATGCATATCTGAGTCTAGATGTGATGAATTTCCACCCATGCGATTTAACCCTCCTATTGCTCCCTTGAAGTGGAGTGTTTCAATTATCTCTTCTCTGGGAGTGGTTGATTCTTATAAATATTTTACTGTTTAGTTTGGCTTACACAATGCATCTTCGCAGAAGTGGAACACCTCATCATATCTCAGAGTCCATTTAGATGTCTGATGCTTCTCGCTATCCTTTCCAGGCAACTCGTGTTCCGTGTGTACCCTACTTTCACTTTTTGCTACATAGCGTCTTTTTGCTCTTACTATTGACAACAGTTACTCTACTTTTTCACCTTTTGATGCGTACACAGCCTTTGACGTACTTTCCATGTCACCGTAAGAAAACTGATTTTGTGGTTGCTTAGTGTCCACTCATATGTGACTTGTCAATGGCTGGAAATTTGTAAAACCACATGGCGCAATAGGTTGTTGGGTAAAAGTTCCTCTCGTTTTGATTGGAGTAAACACATCACGAGTTACCTCTCTGATGATGAGAGAGCACCCGTATTTCCTGATGGTTTGTTTAAACTCACTTTGCTTCAGGCAGCATCTGGCCATTTACTTGTTGCGTCCACACCTCTTAACCACTGTCCAAACCAGTTTACTTTACTCCATTGTACAGGATAATCTCATGATTACTTAGATGCAATGTGACGTTACCCTACCAAGCGATCCAGGCTGCTTTTTATGTTGCGAACTCGGTGGCTTACCTTTCCATGGGCTTTATGAGACCAGTGGGAAATTTAAGATGGATAAATTACGTTGCATTTTTGTGTCCTTGCCTTCATGTATCTTCTTCTGGCTCCGACCAGCATCTAGACGGTAATGTGTGCTCCCTTGGCTGTGTATTGGTACGGCCCATCGTAAAAGTCCTTCACTGTTGGATTTTCTTTTTGTCGTGCCGGCCTATGGCCGGAAGGATCGCAAGCCTGCCTTGTAATCCGTAGGTCGCGGGTTTTAGCTTCCATAGGGGACCGGGCGACTCTCGCATTATCCGTAGCCCACTTGCGACTGGTGGTGATTGCGTGGCAGCAAAGCGTCAATACTGCGCACCGGCATACTGCTGATTCCCTTTTTTGCTGTCACATTGTGGGTGTCTTATAAATGACTACTCGCTCGTCGACCTTATCTGGACAACAACCGTGACTCAGATTACTCTCTTAGTCCACTAAATCAGTCCAATTTCACATTTTCTGTTTACATTATTCTGCTCCCAATTTTTTGCCTTCATGATTCTGTTGAGTTCGCTTTTGCTGACATTAATTCCTTTGCGACAATTAGGTAAGGGCCCTGCTGATTGAACTGAACAGGATGTTTATGGACCGCGAGCCACTGTCCCTCCGTGCTTCCCCCGGTTCTCCACTGCATGGACTACTGGGCACGACATCCGACTTCGTCGCCGCACCCAACAGACTCCATTCGGTAAGTCCTGCTTTTTCCACCAAGGTACCATTTCAGTTTGTGTTTACTTTATGGGTAACACTGGTGGATGATTCCCCATTTCTTGCATTGCACGAACACAAATACTTTCTTATGCATTCGCGTCTTCTCAGGAATTGCTTCCAGTCGGTTGTTTGTAGCACCTCTTACCTTCGCAAATGCTCTCATGCCACATATTTAACCCCAATGTTCTATCCAGTAGATCCCCTTTTACACACAGGTGAACGGTCATGTTTCTTAGAGCTGTTGTGTATTTGTCTCCAAATAACGAACTAACTATAGCTATCAGCACCCATATATCTTTCTTCAACACCTATTCCAAATGGGGTTAAAGCATTTCCGATAACACATTTTACAATGTCTATCTGCGCATGCGGACGTTTTCGGTACGTTCTGTGTGCCATGCACGTTGGCCGATCCCCGAAATTTTTAAGTGCTTGACTTGCAATCCGGCGACGTCAGCAGTTCGAATCCGCGGGTGACCTCTCGGTTATACCTCGAGCTCACTCGTGACCGTGTCACCGAAACGTCAGTACAGTGTACCGGCGTATTGTTAATACGTTTTCCTTTTATGCATTGATAACAGATAGTGCCGTTATATTAGCCAATCGACTATTCCCCCATAGTGATAGTGTGGAACATTTGAAATCCATCTCATTCCACCTCGCACCAAAAACCGTTTGCATCAACTATCGACCGCTCTGCATCGATCAATACATTGTGCATACTTTTCAATGTAACGAGAGGCAACCGCATTTTACCAAAATAAAATGAATTCAGCGATTTCACGTATTCACTTCAGCTGTTTACATGCAATTCGTGCGCTCGTTTTGGTCATCTTTCCACACTAAACGAAACGGTTGGAAAAGAGCTTAACCAAATTTCTCTTTAACTAGGATTAACTGGCTTGGCCTTCAAATCAAGTTGCGTTTTTTCTTTGGAGTGCCGTTTTACGCTATCTACTGCGTATTTAACAATTTTTTTGTTTTTTCTGTTTTTTTTTGTTTATCTGGATACTTCTGAGTTCATCAATGTTATCCTGACCTACCAACTTTTCGAAGTTATTTCTGGACGCTGCACGAACTCGTCTTATGCCGTATGCGGTCACAAAGTCAGAAACACCGTCACATTAAAAACTAGACGCCTTAGTTAATTGAGAAAGCACCATTCTGTCTGGAAAGTTGGACTCAGACGCTGTTCCAGAAATAAATTGCAAATTCCACTAGCTCTAGCAATATACGCTCTCTGCTTAATAAAATCACTGACCTCAATGCCACTATGCAGCATAAGGAATATGCAAATGCGGGTATTGTAATGCCACCAGAATGTTGATTGCATCCATACGTGGATGATGAGGTTATTCAACTCGATGGATACGTGTCATGACGTCCGATCGCCCTAGAAAGCCTCCGAATTGTGGAGGAGTCGTTATCATCTGTGGCAACCAGTTATGGTGTAATTCGGTTACCTAGCTGTCTACGTACTCAACATCCAAAATTAGCTGTCATTTAATCGAGTGCAAACCGAAATTTCTGACTAGATTTTTTTTCGTGTCATCCGATTCGTCTGCATGATCCCCGACACCCCATCTACTGAGCTCAAAATTTTTGCGTATCGTCTCTCATTAGTGTTACTATCTGATTTTGAGTGTATTATCTGTCTTTTCTGGTGACTTTACCACAAGTGGCGCGACATTCATCAAGATACTTAGTCTAAAAATACCATATCTGCACATTTCGATTTTGTTTTCACAAACAAAACTATCTATCTACTCATGAACCGCTTCTCTTCCTCGATACCGTATCGGGTTAGTTAATTGAAAAAACGGACCTATAAATTCAAAATCTCTGCTCAGGTTAAACGACTATGAAATCAGTAAAATCAGGGTTAATGTCTTTGGATAGTCTATGTTGAAATTGTGTCTGATAATCATGATCATCACGAACTGTTGATGCTTTTAAAGCAGTTGTGTGACAAATGTTCCCAAAAGCGTCTTGATAACCTGGATGTAGACAGACTCAATTCCGAGTTCTGTACTTCCAAATCGACTGTGTTCTCCGCCCTCCCTCACCAACACAGGTCCCGCAGTCACCCTTAATCGCTTCGCTTTTTACAGGGAATTTAATAAGAAGATAACTAAACTGCTTTATCTTCACTGCTTCTAAAGGACTGCGCTGATTATCTCGCGGTACCCTTAGTACTCTGTTCAACCTCTGTCTTATAAGTGGCACAATTCCTGACATTTAAAGACGTGTAAGGACAATCCCAAGAAGGGGTCTCAAAGCTATCGTCCCATTGCCGCTAGCCAAGTAGATTAGTCTCTGCCACAAACTTCCTCTGTGGAAGTTTGTTGGAGTGTTATTAGAGGGAGTGAGATTACTGTATTCTCATTTTGCACCATTGAAGTGTCGAAAATTTGACCAGCCAAGCCGCAATGATTCGACAGAGTATGCTACTACGGCTCGGCGGCAGCACAAAGTGTGAGACAAATTCCTCCTCTCCGACTCTTCCAATGATTACGAGGCATGTAAGAGACAGCGAAATGTTTGCGATCATGCAAAAACAAGCATGCATCGACATTTCAGACATCAGCTGGCCACCGCCGCAAAGACCGTCACGAAAATAATCTTAGCATACGTGTAGGGTCGCCTCAAGTCTTCAGGTGATCTGCCAGTGTTAGAGGTCTCGGATGGATAGCCCCTAACCATCCTGCACTGAGCGTGCGTCCGCGTTGGCGATACACTTCCCTTCCGTGTTTGCAAATGATCAGGTGTCTGTACCGAGTTCGACGTGTATTGCGATTGCCGAACTTGACATTCCGATTTGCGATGTTGGAGAGGTGCGTCAACTACTTGCAAACCTTGACGGCCCCAAACTTGCTGGCCAAAGCAGTCTCCAGTCCCTAGCGGTCATCATCTCAACTGCTGTGTCTGACTTGACCAACAAGTCACTAACCGAAGGTTCATTGCCGAGCGAGTGGAAATGCTTAGTGGTCAAGCCGATTCCGAAATCCGGTGACCCCAGCAAAGTGAACACCTACATGCCGATTTGTTTGACACCTACTTTTGCCAAGGTTGCCGAGAAGATCGTGTAGTGGGGTCTACTACAGCTGTTCTAACTAAAGACAGTGATGCTCGCACAGCACGGTTTTATGCTGGGCCGATCATGCACTACCAACCTGCTGGTGACAAAGCATGAATGCTTGCAGGCAATAAATCGGGAAATCTGTCTACGTAATCTGCATAGATTTCACTCGAGCCTTCGATAAGGTAAACCATGAGGTCCTCCACCACAAGCTCAGAGTGTGCGGTGTTGGTGGATCACTGCACCAGTGGATCCAGGACTTTCTCGTTGGGTGAAATTTGAGGGTACAGGTCGACCGCCATCTAACTGACTAGTACCCTTCGACCAGTGGCGTTCCCCAAGGCACAGGGCTGGGGCCCAATCTGTTCCTAATTCACATCAACAATCTACCCTAGTTTCTTCGGATGTTGTGTGCCCTGTTCGCGGACGACCTAAAGATTTGGAGAGTGATTAGCACCCCGGACGACTTCGGCATGATCTCAACCGCCTTTCCATGTGGTTTGACGAAGTCCGCCTCGCGGTCAACCTATCCCAGTCGATATTTATGCGACTGGGGAAGAGTGGTTGTGGTGGATTAAAGGTAGATACTACTTCGCCGGATATAAGTAGTGTGGTGGTGCAAGATGACACACCAACAGCGAGCCCTGCCGACTTCCCCAAAGTTGAAGATGACATCAGGATTACAGTTCCATGCGCACGAGTAGTGAACACAGAGGCAGGCACCAGTTGGGGAACACTCCATGGAGATCACGCATATGAGCGGACGCCTCCAAGGTATGAACGAACACACCTAGTGTAAGCCACTTTAGCACTAAACAATTACCGCCTACCCCTTGGGTTCTAACATTTGGTGCGGTGACCTCGCAAGTGATGAAGATTCCCTGGCCGGAACCATTTGAAGACGGGGATATGAAGGCGTTTTTGGAGGATTTCGAGGAGGTGGCAGAGGCGGTAGGACTGAAGACGGACCGGGCGAAGATGGCGGCCCTGCAGAGTCTCCTCAAGGGCAGGACGAAGCCGGTTCTGGAGGCGGCGCGAAGAGGTCCGGTCAAGTTGGAGTGGACCACCGCGAAGGAAGCGTTGCTCTCTGGCTTGGACACGCCAGCGGACCGCCAGGAGGCGATGCGACGGTTCAAGGCGTCGCGGCTTGGTGCTGGGACGGATCCCCTCGTGTTTGCGGTGCACCTCAGAAGCTTGTTGGATCGCGCCTTGCCGGGGTTGGATGAGCCGTCAAAGACGCAGTTTCTGGTTTATCAGTTTTTGGCCGGCCTCCCACAGCCAACCGCGGAGCGCGTTCGGATTGCGAATGCTACTGGAAAGATGCAATTGGAGGAGTTGGCGCAAGTTACTCGAGAGCTGGGCGACGCACCACTAGCTGCGCTGAAGGAAGAGCCTCATGAGAATGTGGAACGAATGGACAAATTGGAACGGGTGATGGAACAGCTTGCGGAAGACATCAATGGGCTTCGCGTTCAGCGTTATCGGGTGCGCACAAAGGGATGTTGCTTCATCTGCGGGAAACCGGGGCACTGGAAGAGACAATGTCCGCATAGGCGTGGTGTTACTCGTGTGACGAATAAACATGTGAAACCTTATTTCTCTTTTCGGATCGAGGATTGTGTACTTGGAGTGTTGAGCAGGAGTGCGGTTGAAGCAATGGTGGAAGTAGACGGAACGATGGAAAGGTGTCTGATCGATACGGGTGTCGCGGTGTCACTAATCAACCATCGACGAGGTGAAAAGCTTCAGTCATGCTGCACGATCGTAAGAGCTCTTGGCGGTCATTCAGTGGGAATTGATGGGATAGCCGAACACACCGTGGGAATCGGGGGACGAAAGCGAACACACTTCTTTCTCGTGTCACCAGATGCGAAACAAACCATATTGGGAGCAGATTT